CTGAGCTTCTTACTATCTGTCATACCAGAAGGAAACTGAATTAAAATAGAATTGTATTTGCATAGAAAACTTACCTTGACTGAAGTAGCGCTAGGGAAAATAGAATTAAACTTTTATTTATGAGATGTACATTTTCCTTTGGTAAGTCCCAAAACAAGTTGGAAGCCTACATTTTGCTAACAAAACCAGCCCCCATTCACATGCTTTTGAACATTTTACTGCACATATCCTTTCTAAACAGACCATGTTAAAGACATATATTTACTTCCCTGTGTAAGTTCACTAGAGTTTGCTATTCATTATAATCATTTACAGGAAACTGCCATCAGCTGTTATGCATACTAAAAGAGTAGTCACAGACCACGACCATGAGCAAGTTCTTGTGTGTGGCCTTGTACAAACAAGAAGTTTTTGACATTCACAGTTCTGAACCAAAGTCTAGGAATCCAAATGCTTCTGAGTCTGCTATCAAAATCTTGGTCCTTGGAGTTTCTCACCTGAAGTGCCCAATTTTTGATCCTTTGCTTGTGATTAATGACTTCAGGATCAGACCTCAAACTTCTCTGTGTTTCGAAATATGTGTTTCACACTGAAAGAAAACCTCTAAGGAGTGGTATCACCCAAGGGGCAAATTCTGTTGTGGCAATCAGTGCTTATGCCTGACAGTTGTTCTAACTCTGTTCAAGTCAGCAGTTTAAACTGCTTTGTCCTGCAAATTACAGCAATCACAAATTATTCTTGCACAAAAAATGGATATCCACATGGAATTTGGTGAGGAAAGAAAATGAACACAGCGGTGTTTTTCCCTTGTTCTTATGCAGTTTTTCTCACAGGCTTGCACCTGCAGCTCCATACCGTTAGGTCAGGCACTTAAAGGAACTGATTGCCACTGGCAAAGACTTCTCCCCTTCCTTCCCCCCTCTTCCTGCCTCTCGGTTGTAGCTTTTGGTTTCCATTAGAGACTCAAAGACATGCACAAAGCCTCACAGCTGGTCAGCAGACAGAACTGCCCTGATTGAGGCCCACTTTGGTCACTGCTGACAGCGTTACAAGCAGGAATGATCACCCCAAGGCTTGAGCTCTTAAGGCTCCTGACAGGAATGGCAGAATCAGTCTGGGAAACACCCCCTAGTGAGTCACTGGGAAGTATGTTCTCTTGCCCTTTTCCCCCTCCTTCTGTTTTTCCCCAGGAATAACTTACCATTAGAGTTAACATCTGCCATACTACAGGCCCTTTTGTGCAACACTTTCAATAACAAAATTGTATTCAACTGCTAGAAGTATAAATTTCAGTTTTTTACTTGATCTTATTTAACTGCCTTTCCCCATCCCACAGTATATCAAGAATATGCAGGTGTATATATAATATGCATGTGCATACCTATATATACACACAAGAAAAAAAAATAATCTCAGCTACTCTTTGAATCCAAATTCTTACCCCAGTTAATTTGGAAGCATTAACATAATCTCCACTAACAATGCCAAAAGTCTTTTCTGCAGCAGAGCAAGTGTAATTCTCATCTATGTATGGGGTTAGGGCTGTGCTTGGACAGCCTACACAGAAATGCATAGAGTCTGTTTATTTGGGCAAAGCAAGCAGCACGCAGACCAGTTTGCATCTGGACTCTTACTGCCCTTAATTCCATTAACAACAGCTGTCACAACTATGAACGTTTGTGATCCATACAAGATTCAACACTAAGTGCACAGGAGAGCTCTCAAGGACTTGCCTCCCAGAAGCAGCATTTGTGTACATATACTCTCGGTGCCAACAACACACAGCCCAATGCAGACCACTGCAGACCGTGGTCCAGAAACATCAGGTCATACTTCTACTCAAACATGATGCAAAGTACCTTTGGAAAGGGAATTGGTGAAAATGTGTTTTTACTATGATACCAGTCTATTATCTCATTACAGCTGTAGGCTCTTTCTCCTTTTCACTCTTGCATTGTCATGAGAAAAGTGGTTCCCAGCTGACATGGAAGATAAAATCCATAAGCATGCAAAGTGAGACAAAGCAGTTTTTAAAGACTGCCACTTTTATTACTACGAGAAAAAATTCCTAGGCTGAATGCTAACAGCTTTTCAACATTAGTTCCTGGTGCTTTCTAATGGGAGTTATCAAGAACCTTGCAGGGAATTAAAATTTCATGCTATATATCACAATAAAACTAAACATGCTAACACATAAACAGAGAAAGTAAAGTATGCAACAAGCTTCTAATCACAGCACTAATAATACAGAAGGTGAGCCACATTTATCATGCATCCTAAAAGAAGGCCTATGTGTTATATTTCAGCCAACCATGGAGAACTTACTTTTCACTGCCATGACAGATCATACAATACATCTAGTTACCAACAGCAGCTCAAAAAAAAAAAAAGCACAGAAGCAACCCTTACTTATTGTCCAATGTCTAGCATCCAGCATTAAGACAGTGAAGACAAAATACCAACCACAGCATGCCACATCACGTTTTAAAAGTCTTAATAATGGAAGACGTTAATTCCACCTCTGTTACATTGAATAACTCTCCACAGATCAATAGTTATGTGAAATAGGCTTCCTTATGTTTACATGAACATTGCTTTAAATTAGAAAATGCAGGACCCACCTGGCTCTGAGATGAAAGTTGTAGTAAGACTAGGAATAATAGGAACAATTAATTTATGGCCATTGCAGACTTTTTACTGTTGTATTCTCAAATATCTGCTCCTAGCAGTGATGAGACCTGTGGGAAGGCTTCCATTGACTCCTTTAGGAGGGAACCACTCCCAGCATCATGTGTGATCTGAGCAACACCACCGTAATGAAAATGAAAAATGAGTCACAAACAAAATAAGTCAGAAACATAAAAAATAAACATCACATTTATTTAAATAAAAATATACACACAGTGTACAATGGACATGGCTTACAGACAGCAATGAAACAAAAATGCTAAATCCTGAAATATAAAGAGCTGAATTGCTATAGTTGTGCTTCATTTCTCTGAACAAACACACACTATGGACTGAAGTGCTATTGATGTTACTTATACACAGCCCCATGTGCTCCAGAGTGTGAGACAGGAACATTACAAGGAATAGCTGTACAAAATGAAAACAAGTACCAAAGTAACTGGGGATTTTAGAAATTTTAAAGTCAGACCATTCATAAACAAAAGAGAAGTGCTGAGAACTTTTGAAGTACTTTGCGTGCACGGAAAGCATACAAAACACCACTGCAAGCAGTTAGAGATCTAAGTAAGAGCAGTACGGTCCAAATCTCAGCATTCCCAAGTACACAGATCCAGGGCTCTCTATTATCACAGCCAGATTTCCACTGCAACTCTTCCTCCCTGTCAGGACACAAACCTCATGCTTTATGTTCCAGCTCTTAGGAATATAAATGTATTGGCTCAAAACAGTCCTCTGGTTTATGTATTCTGAAGTATTAAGTTTCATGTTTATTTGAGCAAATGCAAGTTTTTAATCTTGCATCATGAGTATCATGCTGAAATTTATTGTTGCTATATTACTTACTCAGCAGGTGCTATAAGAGAGAGATTAAAAAATGCTTGAGTGCTGCAGAGTGTAAGCTGAATGCTCTGGCAATACAACAGTCAATGTGCTGCGTGACTAAAGAAAAACAAAAGCAATGTTCCAGAGACTGAAGTCTGGGATTTTTTTTCTTTTCTGCTTTAAAAAGGTATTTGCGTATTTATTTTTTTTTTAACATGCAATTGACAAAGTAAGTTTTGTTGTGAAGGACACTAAATTATTTTAAAGCATTTTGATTGTAGACATCTGCTTTTAAGCTACAAATAAGTGAAAAGATGCAAGTTCATGTCTCATGGCATTGCCTGTACAGCTCAATTTCTTTACAATTAGAAAAAGCATAAATATAGATATAAATGGTTTCAAGTTTACAACATAGCCAACAGACATGATACACATTTAAGGCTGTTAACTGATTACATACATTAATTCCACAAGTAATTTTGCTACATAGTTTTAATGTCACTTCTTTCTTTACTACACTGGTTGATGTTCAGTGCATTTTCTGCTTTTTATAAGTGGCCTACAGGATTTCCTGGAACTTGTGTTTAAACAAGAAATAAAAATAAGCTTATTTTCTGAAGCTCTTGACAGGCATATTATACAGTGGGCTTCGAAATGATATGTTGCACTTTTTTCCACTTACATTACTAGCAATGATTTAGAATACCATTACAATTTATTTCACTATAAATAAGTGAATTTTCATCAAGACTGATTGATTTAGACACATAAAGTATTTGTTAATTCCCTTATTCCATTTACCTAACGCCAAAATCCAGACAGCACAAAAAAATTAACATTAAGGCTCTTCCTCAGTTAACATTTTGTTTTGGCTGTCCTCCTAAATTGTTTTTTCTTTATAATACATACATTGCTAGCATTCCATGAAAATACACAACTTCACATAGACACGAATCAGATAACATAATGAAAAACTTCTGTCCCCTAGTTGCTCTATAAAAGCCAAAGTATAAACAAGAACATATTTTATACTTCCTAAAAGAAGGCCAATTAATAACATCAGGTATAGGCATGTTATGCATTGTAACAGTATTACAGTCAACTCTGAGGAAAAAAAAAACACCTACTTTAACCTCTATTTAGACACTAGTCTGTGGTACAAACCCTCCATATAAACCTGTAATGCATTATACACATATTCAAAGCTAGAGGCCCTTATTTCAGGAATGCTCAAGGCAGATCCTGATGACTTTATTTCTACAAATAATGTCCTCAGTAAGTGAGCAGGATTTAGCTTTAGATACCAGATATATCTTTGGAGGTTCATCTCCTAGCCCTTGAGAACTGCTCTGCCCTCAAAGTAGATTATTTCATAACTTAGAAAAGTTTTAACAGAGGAGATACGGAACATCTTCTGTGAATCTGCCACCAAAATCAGAATACTTCTCTTAACCCTTTGCAAAACAAATGGTGTAGTTTGTTCATGAAAATTCATCTGCTTAATTTTACTCACAGAGAACTACAAGGATACGTGCAACACCTCAAAGATGATTTAACTCATCTGTTAGGCATTCAAACAATGCACAGGGGTTGAAGCAGCTTCCACAAAGAGTACTCCAAGTAATGTAACTATCAAACTGCAGCAAACCCTCTTTATTTCTTCATAAAAAGCAATCTAGAAAACCCACTTGTTTGGAATCCATGCTCAGCTAACAGTTCTCCTTTAATGACCCAGCCTTTGCTTGTATGACCTCCAGTAGCCCACAGCAGGCAATGACCAAACCAGGAAACATTTGAGCCTGATTCAGTACTGAAGCAGCAACAAGGCTCTTTTAGGAGACTTTGAACCACACCAGTTGGTTATACAAGGGTATCATGACCTACAAAAACATGTTCCTATAAAACAACTGGCTTAAAAAAGTTCAGCCTATTCAGCTCAAACCCAGCCTACTCTTCTGTAATGGCCCAAGCTCAATGAAGTTTCACTGTAGTACACTGATGTGGGGTTTGGTTTCTTTTCTGTTTTATTTAGTTTCAGAAGACATGATGGGAAAGGCTGTTAAAACAAAAAAGGACAGGAATGCAATGCCTTTTTTTTTTTCCCCATCCAACAACCCCCCAGAAAATATATGGGGAAAAAATCTTCAATAGAAAAGTAACATGATAGTGTTAACAGCAATTTAGAACCAAAATGGGATTAAAGTGCTGAGACAAGATCTTGAAAGGCTATTTTCCTGATAAGAAGACAATCTATAGAATTTCATATTTTGAACTTGACAGGATGCCCATGGGACATGAAATGAAGAATTACAGGAAACCATAGTACTCACCAGTGAATACCATCCCCACAGAGACTTTTACAGCTGGTTTCAGAATTACAGTAGGAAGGCAGCATTCTCTCCTGTACATCTCTAGGATTATTTCAGAGATGCACAAGGAATTTACTGCTAGTTCTAAATTGCACATGTAGGTATTTTTAAGCTAATAACATAGCAGATAGTGAGGACTAGTGCAGCAACAGAACAACATTACATTACTGCCCTAGGAAGACTTAGGTTCCGTATATCCACAAAAAAGTTCTGTACAGATCAGCTATGCTATAGTTAAAGACCCAAACAAAAATTTATGAACACGTCCACCCACCCAATGAGTAGTGCCCACTTCTACTGCTACACAACAGGAAAAAATCAAGGCATTATATTCTCATCTGCCTGAGCTTAGCTATGATGCAACACCAACTCTTTTGACACCTGTCGAAGTAACACATTCCAGAAGAAGAAAGAAGTAATTCATGACAGGGCATTAAAAAATAATCAACAGATGCACCAACACACCATTTAAATGACCCACTTTTCTTTGAAAAAGGTTCCAATTAGTTAGGTAAACATATTGTATAGGTGAATTCCTGGCTTCACTGAAGTCAGTGAATATTGGAACAAGGGTCTCTTCCTGATGTTCTATGAGCCCCAAAGCCTGATCATGCAAATATACAAGATGGCTTTAATTTTAGGTCATCTGCATGTACCTATCCAATTAGAATTTGCAGAATCAGGCTCTTAAATATAATTTTTAATGGCATAGTTACAGATTTATACCCAGGTAATGGGTATTAATGGATTAAAAGCAACAAGTTATAACTCACAGTTCATTAACATTTCTTTGACTTCCATAGCAGTAAGAAAACATTAACTTCTTTATCCATGGTAATTACAATTTCCTCCAGATGTGCACATTCCCAGTGTGGTTTCATTCAAATAAAATTCTCACACTTCTGCTCCAGGTATTTTTTTTTTTCTCAAAATTAAGGCATTACATAAAGGTCAGTAACCAGTGAATAGTGGGGGGGTTAATTGTATTTCTCTCTGGGAGGCAGAAGGCAGCAATAAATAGACACAATTAGAAAACACATGTTCTTTGCAAGACAGATTTCAGGACTAACACAAGCTGGCAGAAGCACTAACATTCATTTTGAAAGCTGATAGTTCTTCATCCTACAGTGTCTATATGCAGCATTACAAAGTTGATATAAATCAGCTGCGGTGGCTAACTAGTCCTAATACAGCAGGTTACTCATAAGATATCTCTTAGGCTCTGTAATAACATACATGTCCTTATAGCCTGAAGATACATTGTCTCCTGTATATATAACTAATTTTCCTTACCTCTAAAGAACATATAGTTTTAAGGGTTTATAGTAAACGTGAACAGGACAGGTCAAATTCAGGTCACCTTACTGAAGAATTAATCCCCCTGATTTCAATGTGATTTATAAGAAAGTGAAATGAGTGTTACTTGGCTGTGGTACAGCAAGCCAAGAATGATATATCCAAATAAACTGCAAGGAATCAGAATGGAATTACTGAAATTACAGGCTGTAATTACTAAAAACATATTAAGAAGCTACCATGCTTATGTAAAGAAGATAAATGTAATTACTAAAATTATATTTAACCCAGGCATTAACATTAGAATCTTTTGTAAACACTTCCGTGAAGGATTTCATCATTAGTGACCAAGAACTTGGTACCATGCTGGTTCCAGAAAACACTATTCTCAGCAGTAAGAGACCCCTTAAATCAAATCTCAGGTTTTGGTTCGGAGTAGTCAGTATGTCACCTTGCAGATTGCTAACCTCAGTTACTATAGCAAATGACATTTGCCTCTGTAATCTTCAATCAAATGACCCAAATAACTAATTCTAGCTGGTGTATGAGTCATACTAACCTTCAACTTCACAAATAAGAGTTGACTATATTTGGTTTTGAGAATATTCAGTCCATTTCTTTTCATGGTATTTTATTTCATAATAACTAACTGAAGTTATTTTAACGTATAATGATGAAACCTGATAAAAATAACATCTCAACTGGTTACACATTCCCAATTAGTAAGCTATAAACAGTGATTTTTATATTCACTAATTAGCATGATGTATGTTCCTGATCACATTTTTGTTAAACTTAGGTGTCAGCTTTTCCATATGTCCCTTCTGGAGGTCTGTAGTACTTTGGGAAAGCCATCAGCTGTATCATGTTGAATGCATACTTTCTGCATTTGACATTCTTCAGCACATTCTCTATGCGGCATCCTTCTCTAGTGAAAGGGGGAAAAAGTACAACTTCATGAAACACAGAATAAATAAATACGCTTTATTTGTTCATTGCAGAGTTTCAGCAACAGTTGAAGTAAAAATAACAAAGATTCAACTTTACATTTCTGTTTTCCACAAGTGATGATACATCTTACAAAATTAAATCCAAGGCCAGGCCCAGTACAGTTATTGCCCTCAGAAACAGGTGATAAGATTTCCCCCCCCTCCAATATATTTGCCCTTGAGGTTTTAAAGTTTAGTAAAAATAATTTAAATACTTTAATTATTAATTTGTTCTAATTCCATAAATATATTTGTCTCTTAAACCTTCTCATAGTTTTTTTTCCAAATCGTTTGCTATATATGTTAAGAGTACACATTGCCCTAAAAATGCGTATTCTAGGAATAAGGCATTTTATTAAGTCTGGCCCTAGAGATTTGCAAAGGAAAGTTTCATCTCTGCTTCATTTCTTGTACGTTCAGCTTTGCAATGAAGGAAAAGAAAAATAAAAAAAAGCTTTTCAAACAGCCCAATGCAACACTGCTTTAGAAAGGAATGATGTTTCTTCACATAGAGTACAAAAGTCACAAGTGCCAAAGTGGTGCATCAAGACATAAACAGGAATTTGTTAAAAAGAATATAAAAGTGTCTTGAAAGCAAAAGCAACTAAAGCAACAATTACAAACAGGTGAATTCCATTACAAAACAGAACCTACTCCATTCCATTTAGTTACTTGACAGAAAGTGGTTAGTTGTAGTAAAGTAATAATCGTTTGTTAAACAAAAAAGATCCCATCAGCTAGTAGCAATGAAAATAATACAGAGAAAGTTAAGTCTCACAAACCACCACCCTGAAATATTGGTCTAGGGGTTAGTTTGTGTTGTGCAAATTCTTTTTTAATCTTCTTATTTTTTTTTTTTTTGTCAGACTAATTACTCTGGAAAGAGGAGTTCAAGCATTCAGGATTCCACATCTTCTTGTATACAGTGACAGCATTGTAAGCGGGCTTTCTTTGAGCTAATTAAAGTGGGAAAGCTTTACCATAAACAGAAAGAGCAAATCAATTCACTCAATGCATAGTATATTTCTTAAAGTTTAGTAAAAAAAACAAAACAAAACCATAATACATGTCAGTCATTGCTATCTTAAAGATGAATCCTTGGGGTCTGAGATTGTAGAAATATTACAGCACAATTCCTTTTTCTAAAGTTAGTTTGTTGCTGTTTGTAGAAAAGAAAGGAACACAAGTGAAGTTTATTGATATTTGGCTAATAGCAAAGCAAGACTTAAGATAAGCCACACAACCAGCAAGTGTGAGCTGACAAGCAGCAAGGCGACAGGATAGAAGTGTCGAGAAGTTGGCTTGTTATCAGTTAGACAGCCTGTTTCGGGATCATCCGATTCATTCAGTGCTCCCTGGATTTGTCTGCTGTTAAACAGGGGAAGTTAGGAACAAACAGAACAGCATTTAAACAGCAAAGAAAGCCAACATTAAGTATTTTGACAAAGTGAAACCACATAACCATTTCAATGAAAGAAATTTATGATAAGTACTTCCAATGTATTTATTGTGTCTACAGCTGATATGAGCAGCGCGATGACCAGGTGTCTAAGAGGTTATTAAGCCTGCTAGTTGCCTTGGAGTAGTATTCACAATTAACATTAAATAACTTATGAGATGAACTATACTACCACTAAAAAGAACACACACACACCAAACAGAAATGAAATAAGAGAAGTTAAAAAAAAAGTTAAGGAAGCAAAGAAAAAAAGATCATGCATATGTCACGATGCAACACTGACAAAAGACTGTCTCCATGGTGTTTGCAGGCTTTTCAGTCCTGCTTCATTATTTATTAGGAAATATATAGGCAGAAATAGAATGTGCACGTGCTCTTTTTTGAAAGAATTAACAACTATCCTTCAACAGTTTTAAATGATGGTATATTGACTCCTTAAAAAAATCACCAGTGCTGGTGGAAGTCAACAGCAGTTCTTTCTATTTAAAGGCTCACACCTACATTCCTGTAATTACCTTATACCTTTGTCAAGTCAACTCAGCCAGGAACTAACCTGGTCACAGCAAACTTCTACTAAATCACTTGAAGTTGCACAGTCACTGTCCTGTCAGAGCAGCAGGAATTCTTTCAAATCACTGTCAATCTCTTCTATTATAGTCTTGGTAGCTTCTCTGCAAGTAGAATTATGTATAGTTCAACTATACCCTTCAATCCCTCCAAATTTAACTTCATTGGTATATACTCAGGAGTCCTTATTAGTCCTTTGGCCAGTAAGAACTTAGAAGATTTTCACTTTTCTATATACTATGAATATTCTGGGATGAAAAGATAACTCACCATTTTTCCCTGTGGACCTAAGAATAACCACATATACAAATTACGACACAGTGCTTTTTCAGCAGCACATGTCCCAGTTATGCTGATTTTCAAGAAAGAAAATGCTGGCAGACTAGAAAGAGGCTGCAGAACAGTAAAGGTAATATCACACAATGCCAGGTAAAATGAGAAGGGTGCATCAAAGACAGCAGCAATCACTTCATGTTACAGAAAGCCTGCCCTTCTGACCTGCATGTTAAAAGGCAATGTTGAGTTTTCTGAGCTTGGATAGCAAGAAAGGTGCAAGAACTGCATTTACAGTATTTTAGACAAAATTCTTTCAGAAACTGTCAAGGAACTGTTTGATATGCTGACTTTGTCAACACTGTGGCTTATACCAAAAGAAATAACTCTGTGTTCAGACCAACCCAGTTAATACACAGTCTCCCACAGCATCCTCACAGCTAAATTGAGGAAGTGTGGTCTGGATGATCAGGTAGTGAGGTGGACTGTGAACTGGCTGAAGGAGAGAAGCCAGAGAGTTGTAGTCTATGGGGCGCAGTCTAGTTGGAGGCCTGTAACTAGTGGAGTGCCTCAAGGGTCAGTACTGGGACCGGTATTATTTAATATATTCATCAACGATTTAGATGAGGGAATTGAGTGTACCATCAGCAAGTTTGCTGATGACACTAAACTGGGAGGAGTGGCTGACACGCCAGAAGGCTGTGCTGCCATCCAGCGAGACCTGGACAGGCTGGAGAGTTGGGCAGGGAATAACTTGATGAAGTATAACAAGGGAAAGTGTAGAGTCCTGCATCTGGGCAGGAACAACCCCAGGTTCCAGTATAGGCTGGGGAACGACCTGTTAGAGAGCAGTGTAGGGGAGAGGGACCTGGGGGTCCTGGTGGACGACAGGGTGACCATGAGCCGACACTGTGCCCTTGTGGCCAAGAAGGCCAATGGCATCCTGGGGTGTATTAGAAGGGGGGTGGTTAGTAGGTCAAGAGAGGTCCTCCTTCCCCTCTACTCTGCCCTGGTGAGACCCCATCTGGAATACTGTGTCCAGTTCTGGGCCCCTCAGTTCTAGAAGGACAGGGACCTGCTGGAGAGAGTCCAGCGCAGGGCAACAAAGATGATTAAGGGAGTGGAGCATCTCCCTTATGAGGAAAGACTGAGGGAGCTGGGTCTCTATAGTTTGGAGGAGACTGAGGGGTGACCTTATAAGTGTCTATAAATATATAAAGGGGGAGTGTCACGAGGAAGGAGCCAGGCTCTACTCAGTGGCAAACAATGATAGGACAAGGGGTAATGGGTACAAACTGGAACACAAGAGGTACCACTTAAACTTGAGAAGAAACTTCTTCTCAGTGAGGGTGATGGAACACTGGAACAGGCTGCCCAGGGAGGTTGTGGAGTCTCCTTCCCTGGAGACATTCAAAACCCGCCTGGACACATTCCTGTGTAACATTATCTAGGTGTTCCTGCTCCGGCAGGGGGATTGGACTAGATGATCTTTCGAGGTCCCTTCCAATCTCTAGCATACTGTGTGATACTGCGTGTAATACCTTTTTCCTGTGGTCCACCCCCAGAACTTACTTCCTCTTCTGCTCACAGTGATAACATTTGGGATCAGCTGAGGACTAACTGCATTGTTCTTTGTTAATTTTCTCCTTTATCATGTATCTTTATATACTTTTAAAAACATTTTGCCTGCTGTTTTTCCTTTTCCTTCCTTAATCTCTCCAGGGTCCCAAAAGTCTGCCTCTTTGACCCTTTTGCACTTTCCCCTCACTCCTTTTCTACTCTTGGAGGTGAGCCTGCTGGTTTCACTTCTCCCCCATCACGCCCACAATGGAGAGTTCTAGCTCTATCCTCATATTCCTGTCTATTTCTTCCCAGTCACAGAGCCCAGGTGCTTTTGGACTGTCCTTCTGTGTGTCTTCCACCACAGACTTCATATGTGCACCTATGGCACAGCAGTTACACAGACCAAACTCTTTCCTCTGAAATGATCCACCTAGGCAGCAACAAAGTTCAACAGTCAGTAAGTTTGCACAGCCATGGCATTAGCCACTGTGAGGTAGAGCTTTAGCTTTGCATGCTAACTAACACTTTACTCTGAGCTGGCTGAGTTACACACATTTGCCTCTTCAGGAAGGAACCCTCCTACTTCTGCCATTTGCCTTGCTCTGTTTTGCCCCATGTCTCATTGACAGTGTGACTGTCTTTTATCTATGTTTCTACAAGTCCCATTAGCATCAGTGACATTTATGCAGACGTAATGATGGAAATGGAGATAAAAGCCATTTCTTCTATTATTTCCAACAGAAAAACCTACAGTACATTTGTTCTTTGATATTCTGAAAACAACGATCAGTGTCTTTCAACATAAGTCCTATCCTCCCCCCAGAGAAACCACAGTGAACAGCTGAGGGACAGGGACTTCTGTTCCACAGATTAGTCATATCATTCTATGCAAGATTCAATAAGATATCTTCAAAATAGAGCAAGAGGATCCAACTCCATTGTCAGCTTCCTAAGAACAGGCTGAGCAGAATACCTAAACATGAATTTAATTTAAGAGGAATATTTGATCACAGACAGGTGTCTTGCTAAGCTCTGGTAATACTTTTCAATGCACTGCAGTGACAATGTCTTCTAACA